ATTAAATTGATAGTAATAATAATATTTAGATAACAAATTTTATATTGATACATAGCTATATATTTTTTATATTTTTTTGATAGTAAAATAAAATTAAGTAAAAAAAATTAATTTATAAAAATTCATAGTTTTATAATTAACATGGACAAGTCCCTTTCCCAAGCTCAAACAAATATTATTATGCTTTGGGTGTGGACTAGCCTAGCTAGGCAACCTATAAAATTGTCAATACACTATCAAAATCTAGCCCGAGATCTTTTATGTCTTTGGTTCATTAGCCTACACAATTCCCCCATAGCTCCTACGGGTTCTTTTATCTAAAATTAGTTAAAAACCCAAAAATAATGCATGCATGGGTTGCGCTCAATTTGGTTTAGTCTAATACGAATGTCACACATTGCTCTAAACCAAATTGAGCGCTATCCATGCATGCATTATCTTTGGGTTTTTAACTAATTTTAGATAAAAATTATTAATATTGAACCCATAGGAGCTATGGGGGAATTGTGTAGGCTAATGAACCAAAGACATAGAATACATAAAATTATTAATCTTGCACGCTGTCGAGACTAGATACCCCAATACAAATAAGTTGGCCTTCTCGCTAGTGTTAGCAACTTGCAAGTTGTGCCCTTGCTTCCAAGTTCACACAATCGTCGTTCTCACCGACAAACCTTTGAGGCAAGTTTTTTAGAAGCCCGAGGTGTTGGGGAGATTGATGAAGTGAGCGATTGAGATCACTGAATACAATATTCGTTTTGAGCCATATCCCTACAGTAAAGGCCCAAGTCCTGACTGACTTCGTCGCCGAGTGCACGTTTAGCATGTCGACCCCTGAAGTTGGGAACTTGTCACCACCTTGGAGGCTTCAACTAGCGAAACATATCCCGACATGGGATGAAGAGCCATGTATCCTCCATTTGGACGGTTCATCCAACCGAAAAGGAAGTAGAGCTGGACTAATCCTCTATGGACTGAGTGAGGTCAAGTTGGAGTACGCCTCTGATTCACATTCCAGGAAGCAGAGTACGAGGCACTCATAACAAAGCTATCTCTAGCCTAGGAAGTCGGCACAAAACACCTTGTCATTTGTAGTGACTTGCAGTTGGTGGTCAATTAAGTGAATGAGCGGTACAAGGCCCGGGAGCCCACCATGTTAGTTTACCTAGCTAAGGTTGGAGAGATCCTCCTGTACTTATGCTCTTGGTATATCCAGCAAATTCCAAGGTCCAAGGATGACGAGGCTAACGTGCTCTCCAAGTTGACCAATGCAACGGACAAAACCAAAAGAACTATCTACATCGAAGACCTACCACGACCGAGCATTGAGAGGGTGGAAGAAGAGGTCAACCCTGTTATGGTAGCATAGCCGAGCTAAATAGATCCCCTCATTGACTATATGCTCCATGAGACCCTACCCACATATTGTAATGCGACACGGTGGGTAGAGAGATAGTCCATTCGCTATATAATCATCGGTGAGCAACCATACCATAGGTCGTTCACGCTCCCCTATGAAAGATCCATGAAGATCTTTGCGAGTGACGCTTGGGGGTAGGGCATTAACTCAAAAAGCCCTATGATAGGGGTACTATTGGCCAACGATGAAGGCAAACAGAGTACAGATCGCACAAAAGTGTGATTGGTGTTAGTGACAGCTTGCTCTACAACCCTTTAGAAAATTCTAACATAGTACAAATGGGACCTGTCAAGGGGCCCCCTATTTATAGTGAAAGGACGTAGACAACCAATGAACGAGATGCACTGAATCTAACAGGCCACAAGGGAAAGTGCCATTTCAATTTTTGATAGCAAATTCAAATTTTGAATTCACGCACTTTATTTGAAATTCAAATCTATCGCGTGTGCCAACCTGCTCTTTAGATCGGAACAGGTGAGCAGACCAAGCTAAACAATAGTCCAACYGAACCAGTCATTTCGGTCCAATGATCCACAATGAACTACTCCCTTCACTGAACCAACCTTGAGTCGGGAGTGGGGGGTAATTGATGATGGGTGATTTGGCCCTCTAGTGACATTACAACATGTGGCACCCCAAAATCGTCATACGACATCTCGATGCCGCATAAGCATTAATTTTAGGAGCACTTTGGACCTCCTCGACCCACCTCGGCAGGCCGACCTACGGACACCCCATAAGGTATTAGGTTGGCGTAAGAGGCGACCTGCCTCCGCCGACCTGTCCAAGGCTCGATTGGTGACCTGCACAACATGACAAGTGACCTCCTTAACAAGTGGGTTATTGTCTCAGATTCCTTCAAGATCACATTGCCACGTCAACAAAATTGACTCCCGTCCCACCCGCACCAGAGGCAACTGGATAAGCATTTATCGCTTTACGCGGAGTCCATTTCTAGGCGTGAAACCACCTCCAAACAAGACCGATCAATGAGCTTGGACACGCTACTTGAAGCCCATGACAACCTACACCTATATAAAAGCACCCCATTCCTCATAAAATGTATGAATGATATAGCACTCACAACTCTCTAACTCTCTTGCTTTCTAGCATTCTAATACTCTTCATTAACGTAACCATTAAAGTGCTTACCCTGGGTAAAACAACCTCGTAATTATGATACTCTTCTCTTGCAGCTCGACCAGGCGACCTCACTAGGCAGGCATCCAAGCTTTCATCTAGTAGAGAGCGACCAAATCACACAACTTCAAGTTTAGGCCCAAGTTTTTTGTTTTTYTGGAAGCCTATCTTAAAGTTCAAAAACTCAAATGCAACTTGCGCAAAAGCTTTGATTGAATCAGGTTAGGCTTGAATTGGATATACCCAACTTGCACCCCTAGCTCTATTGTCTGAAACTGTATCAACAAAGCCCATGCATTGCATGGGACCCCGCTAGTAATAAATAAAAATAAAATAAATTTGATATCATAAAATGATGGGGAGTGGGATGCTTGGGGATAGGGTCAGGTTGACCGGTGGATTGGCGAGTTTCTACAATTGGAATACAACACACTGCACCCCTAACAAAAAAAAGGAAAAGTACGGATAGACCCAATGTAGATTTATGAATTCCAATGTAGACCTATAAACATTCAAAATGTCAAAAACCCCATTCTATAAATCAATGTCCGCCATTGATTTGGTATCATTTTCGAGCTAGCACCTACCCTAACTGTACTTTGGGCCTAAAAATTCTGACCATGGGCTGAACTGTCATTTTCCCCCAAAACCCCAAGGGACAAAAAAATTTAACTCTAAAATTCTAAAATTACACTCCTTTCAATTGACCATAGTGATATAGCCAAAAAAACAATAAAAATGGTAAATTATAAAATCGCCAGTCACAAAGACCCTTTGCGACAAAGACACCCCTGTACTATAACGGTGAGACAAAAACCCCTTTCTATTAGGTTTCCATTGAAATCTGCCTTACAAGATTTTTAATCACCATATTACCCTTATAATAACAAAAACACTATTCATCTTCCCCGACCTCACCATACACGAACAACAGCGGATATAAGGAGAGAGAAAGGGAGATCGGGGATTACCGCCGTTGTCGCGATGGTTGGTGTGAGAAACTGGGCTAGGGGTAGCGACGATGAATAGGAAAGTGGAGCGAATGGTTGGTGTGAGAAACTAAAAAAAAAATCTCCAATTATTTCAGACAATTGTTGTAGTTGTTTGCTTTAATTCAGTTGAAGTTTTATGTACTATAGTACTGAAGCTGTAAGTTGAAGTACTTTTGGGGTTGGGGCCATTTCAAAGTAAATTGCAGTTAAATTATTTTTTGTTTTTAACTTTTTATCGAATGGAAAATTGCATTTGACAGGAAGAGAGGCAACGAAACACTGCCTCCGACGCAGGCCATCCTTTTTTAACACCGTCTCCGGTTGCGTGGCCATGTTTATACGATGGACGCAACATCTGCAGCGGAAACAACAACGTTCAAAATCGCCAGGGTCCTTGTTTCTTCTACCACCCACAGAACAACGAAGCCAACAACTTTGATTCCTCCAGGGGCCTCCACCAGGCCAGGTATGCTCTCTCTCTCTGTGCCTGCGGCATCACCGGCATTGGTACTATGTTTCATCGCCAGAAGTGCCCAGGTCCTATATCTAGAAATGGTTTTCCCTATCTCACCTGTTGCTTAACAAAACCAGACATCGGCAGCGATAACACAACTGACAGGAACCCAATTGTCGATACAGGTTCCACTGCGACTGCCCAACAACCCCTTGACCCCCGCACAGATCCAAACACCTACTTCCTCTTCATCCTCTACTGGGTTAGTGTTTGATTTGGGTTCTAACAGCTACTAGGACAGCCGCGAGGTTGGATATCCTTTCGTGAAAAGATATCTCAGTGACGATGCAGAGCGGTGGTATAGAGAACTTGCCGGTCTCCCTTTCTCTCATCCCCTATAGCCGTCAGAAGAGCAACCCCTGCTCCTCCACTTCTACCGTCGCTTCCGCCTTCAAACCCGTATTGCAGTGGCAGATTCGAACTCAGCAGCGTCGAATCCACCACCGGCCTCTCTCCTTCTATTCCCACTTTTATTATTCATTTTATTTTTCTATTTCTACTCCTTCCCACAGTTGTCGCGCCCTCTATCACCGTCGAACCAGTTGCTGCCCCCCTTTGTACTTCCGTCGAATCAGTTGCTACCTCCAGCCTAGTTCGTCTCCTTCATCTTCGCCCATTCTTCCATCAGTCCAGTGGACAATAGAACAGGACTCCGTAGAATCTGCAACATTTGGGTTTTGGAGCATTCCCTATAGAGGAAGAAGAGAGATCACGGGAGAGAGAGAAATGTGGATCTCTTGTTCATGTATCGTGAGTTGGGAAAGATGAACAGTGTTTTCTTCCAATTGTTTACAAGGGTAGTATGGGTATTGCAACGGCAGATTTCTACGGAAAGCTAACGAAAGGGGGTTTTTGTCTCACGGTCGTAGTACAGGAGTCTTTGTCTCAAAACAAAGTACAAGGGGGTATTTATCACAGACCCGTGGTACAGGGTCTTTATAATTTACCCTAAAAAAAGACCACACTGCTCTTCCACTTTTAAACCTTTGGTCGATTGGAGCGGGCGGAGACTTGAAAAACAGCTTCTGCAAAACGAAAGCGCGAACCCTAGATCATCTATTCTTTCCATGAAGTAAGAGAGGGAGCATTCGGATACGTAACGATGGAGCTCCGTTTCAGATCAAGATCACTTGGAACTTGCTTCCTGATTCTTCTCTTCCTTATCTTCGTTTCAAGTGCGGTTCTCGCAGAGAATCGTCGCCCGAAGAATGTGCAGGTTTCGCTTCGTGCTAAATGGTCTGGAACTCCATTGTTGTTGGAAGCCGGGTGCGTTTTTATGTTTTGGTTATTCCATTTGTTGTTTACTGATCTTCTTCTGAGCCGATCAATACAGTTTGCTTGTTCAGTGGTGTATGTTGGTTTACGTTAATTTCTTTATTGGCCTTTAGAATGTCTGTGAAATGGTGAAATAGTTTTTGTTCCTTTATTTTTTTTTGATATTTCCCAAAATTGATTTAGTAGTAAGCAGTGAGCAATGAATAAAGAATGCAACTTTAGACATTAATCTTGAAATCACAGCTTTAGACATTATCTTTTGTCATGCTGTCACTGATAAAAAAAATCTTTTGGCATGCTGTCTGTTGGGGCATTTTTGAGTTTGTTCTTAATAAAAAGTTCTGTTAATTATGAAAAGGGAAATCTATGCTGCCTGAAAGACATGAAACCGGAAGGGCTTTGACCAATCAAAATTCAAACCCCCCTGTGATTTTTGATAAATACCAGATGATTAATTACTACTTTACTTTTATGATACCGGTTGGTTGGTTACATGTTTTTATCATGTCTTTCTGGTATTATAGTTGAAAGGCCATTACCCAATGCTGGTCCCACTTATCAAGGGGGTCTTGGTTCTTGGAGGGATGGATGCGTAGAAACCCAACTTTTTTTTTTTAACTCTTTTTTTGCGGGCGCATAAAGTGGCTACTCTCAGGCTGGAACCCACATTCTCATATTTGTCGGTCTAGGATTTTACCACTACACAAAACAATGGCATTGTGTTCTATCTAATCCACTTAATGGTATGAAATACATTCATTTCCTCTTTGTCATCTCAGTTATGAAGAATGCAAAAAGTCAAATCTTTGTCCCTGAATTTGTCAAAATGTGCATTTGCTAGGATTTGAAAAGGTAAAGGATGAGGCGAGGCACCATGATATCTAATGCTTGAGGTTCAACCTCAAGGTCAACGGGCATGGATTCAAGACTTCAAGCCTCATGAACCCCCACTGTTTTTCTTAATGAATTATTAAAATGAAAGAAAGCATAGAAGATTCAAAGGAAAGTAATAATGTACTTACAGAAGGATTGGACAAGCACTTGCAAAAGATAAAGCTAAAGTTTGAAAAGATTGTATTTACATCAATTAAGAGATGCAGACTACTACAGCAGAGCTTGTGGGTCTTGTCAAGAGAATTTACATATCCACTATGACTGTTTAAAAGAACTATGCAAATACTTATCAAAACAAAGGGAATTCTTAAATGCTGTATACACTATATAAAAAGTGAAGTGTCTAATTTAACCAACATTTGTTTTTTATTTTTATAAATCATCATATAACTCTTAAAGCATGTAACTCATAAGTGTTGTATCCACGTTTATTTATTTTAGTATGTTTCTTTATGTCCTATATTCAAAAACTTGTGATGGAATATCACTGTACACTTTTTTTTTGTTTGATTCCAACCATCTGTACCTCAAGTGCTATCTTTTAACAGTGAATTATTATCGACTGGATGGAAGGACTTATTTTGGGAGTTCATTGAAGTTTGGTTACATGAAGAGGACAATATTGACTATTACACAGCAAAGGATTGTGTTCATAAGATTATTAAACATGTGAGGCCCCTCATCAGCGAACCTTTGGCATCACTTCTTGAATTTTCTCTTCCTCTTCGGTCAGCATCCCCAAGATTGGTTCTTTATCGACAATTAGCAGAGGATTCTCTATCATCTTTTCCACCATCAGATGTAACTATTACAAATGGTTTCACTTCCAATGTTTCAGAATCAGTTGCGAATGCAGGCAGTAAAAAAATAGGTGAGCTGCTGGTTGGCAAGAATCCAATAAGTCCTGGTGGAAAATGTTGCTGGGTGGATATCGGAAGCTCACTTATTTTTGATATTTCTGAACTGTTATTGTGGCTTAGTCATTCTGGATTGTAAGTCTTGTGCAATATTTTCATTTATATTGCTATTGCAACATCTTTTCTTGATTCTATTATCTTAATCATAGTTTCCATCATTATGTACATACCATGCCTTTGTTTCCAGATCAGGGGATGCACTTCAGCAGCCTGAACTATTTGAGTTCGACCATGTTCACTTTGGTTCAAGTGTTTCTGGTCCTATTGCTGTTCTATATGGGGCTCTTGGAACAGACTGTTTCAAAGAGTTTCATGTTGCTCTAGTAGAAGCATCAATAAAGGTATTTTCAACTTGGAGCATGTTTTAGTACCTTTGTTCCATTTGTTTATTAAAATGCATTACACTTTTAAGTTCTTGGTGTTTGATGTGGTGCCTTCAAAAAATTTGGAACACTGAAACGTTTAAGTTATTTATTTCTTACGTTTGATGTTTTTCATCATCACTTAGTGTGTAAGTACTAATTAACATAACCAACGCTTATGCACCTCAAGTGGGTTTAGAAGAAAGCATTAAAAGACAATTTTGGGAAAACTTAGAAGGATTAATCCAAGAAATTCCAAATGAAGACAAGATTTTTATAGAAGGGGACTTAAATGGGCATGTAGGAAACAAGCATACGATATTATATGGTGCATGGAGAATTTGGGTTTAGGGAGAGGAATGAATCAAGAGGTGCGATATTAGATTTTGCAGTAGCTTATGATATGTAATTTTAAACACCTTTTTCCAAAAGAAAGATGAACACTTGATAACATTTAAAAGTGAATCAAACATAAGTCAAATGGATTTTTTCCTTACTAAGAGAAAAGAACGAATGATGTGTAAAGATTCCAAAGTTATTATGGGAGAAAGCTTAACAACAAGACATAGATTAGTAGTGGTAGATGTGCACATTAGGAAATGGAAGAGAAATAGGTGCCCAAGAAAGGTGGGGGAACTTAAAAGTGTAAAAACCTAGCTCAATTTAGAAACATGTTGATAACATAAGGGAATTGGAATTTAGATGGAAAGATTAACGATTTTTAGCTTGAAATGGCAAACAGCATAAAGGAAGTGGCAAAAGATGTCTCGAGAGAATATAAAGGGAAATAAAAAAGTACTAAAGAAACTTAGTGATGGAATGAAGAGATTCAAAATATAATCAGTTTAAAACGAGCATGTTACAAAGAATGATAAAAAACTAAAAATGTAGAAATCTGGGAGAAATATAAGGCCATAAGAAAGGAAGACAAAAAGAAAGTGAATGAAGTTAAATGTAGGGCTTATGATGAGTTTTACCATTAATTAGGCACTAAAGAGGGAGAAAAGGAATGTATAAACTAACAATTTGAGAGAAAGAAAAGACAGAGATTTAAACCATGTTGGGTGCGTTAAAAGATGAATATCAAATAAACCATGTTGGGTGCATTAAAGATGAATATCAAGTAAACTGCATTAAAGATGAGTATCAAAGAAAAAGATACATTCTCAAAGAAAAAGATGAGGAAATTTTTATGAAGAATCAAGAAGAAATTTCATTAAAAGAAAAAGATTACATCCTAACACCCTTGGTTGTCTGGATGAGTGATACACCAAATACATTCTCAAAGCTTCAAATTGGAAAGGATTCTATAGTCTACACACCAAATTGAGGAAGAATAATGTGGATCTTCTCCTTTTCTTATGGCATGACATGACTAATGGAGAAGATGATTGAGGTGGACGTACGAGGGTTAGGGAAGATGGCAGAGAGAATGCAGGTGTTGGGAGCAAGCTTAGTGGGTCGACTTGTTGGCATAGGCATAGAAGTGGAGAAGGTGGAAGTATGGGTGATGATAGAGTGGGGGAAGGAGAAGCTAATAGGAGTGAGGAAGCTAAATGGGGGATTATTTCTGTTTATGTTTCACAACAAGGAGATGGCGGAGCTTGTTATGAATCAAGGGAGAGTGAAGGAGAGGGAGTTCAATGTCAGACTTGACTGGTGATTCCCGGTGGCTGAAGCTCTATCATATCAAAGAAAGAGAAGGGCTGTATGGATCGATGTGGCTGATATCCCTTTGCATGCTTGGAGCATAGCGACTTTTGAGGCAATAGGAAACCACAGCGGGGAGTTCCTGGAATTTGGTGATAGGAATAGATCTTGGGACAAGCTAGACTTTGGCAAGAATTCTAGTAGTGGTGGAGGAAGTTTCAGATGTGCCAAATCTGGTGAATCTGAAGTTCGTAGGTGAAGTGTGTGACCTGAGGATTCTGGTCGAAGGTGACGATTTCACGTTCTTAGGTCGGAGGAGTTTCGACCAGATTGGACACTGCAGTTACCGAGTATTCTATATTGTTTGATCTGTTCACAAAAACTCTTCTGTTTCTCTCCCTCCAAATAGACCAACATACTGCAAAAGGGACACAACTCCAAATAATCCTGGGTTTCTTACTGCCTCTGAGCTTAGGCCACAAGGAGAATATTTCTGCTGAAGTTGATGGATGGAAGTCACTCATCCCAATTCCCAAATAGGAGAGAGAAGAACTTCCATATGAAGCTTGCTATGGAAGTTTAGAAAAATTATTAACAGGGAGTTGTGGAATAGCAGGGAGAGGGTGCTAATGGATGAGAAGCTTGCAATATTAATAGTGTTAAAAATAATACTTACTTTTGTAGAGTTAGACTTAGATTTATTGAATTAAAAGAGGCACTAAATAAGATGAAGGGAAAAGTATTAGGACCTGATGGGATTCTAATAGAAGTGTGGAAAGGTATGGGAGGTGTAGGCTTGTTATGGTTAACTAAGATACAATAAGATAGCAAAAATAAAGAACATGCTTGATTATTGGAGATATAATGGTATGATGCCTATATTTAAGAACAAAGGTGATATGTAAACTTGTAGGCTATGTTTGGTTTGAACTTTGAAGGAAAAAGTAGGGAAAGGCAAGGAAATCTATACAAGATTTGTAAAGGTTTCCTTATCTTTCCCTTCCTTTCCCTACTTTTTTCTTCAAACCAAACACAGCCGTAATAACTATTGGGGGATTAAACTCATAAGCCATACTATGAAACTTTGGCAGAGAATATCCCAAACCCGTCCCAAACCTGCTTAACTTTTCCTCTCAATTTCCCAAACCCGTCTTGTGGCTCTTGTCCCAAACCCATTAAACCTGTTCTGACCCGTCTTACCCGATTAACATTTAATTGTTGCTATCATTTTTCAAATTTGAAATTGAAATTCAGTTACTTTAATCGATAATGCCCATTAAATTCACCATAGTTGACTTTAACACTCCATTTACTATAATTGACTCCATAACCAACCTATTTAACACACCAACCATTCTCTTTTTGTTTCATTTTGATAAATCCTTGTTTAACAAAATGTAAATTGTTAATTTAGATATTTGAAAACAACTGCTCTTTCTTGTTTCATCTTGTATTTGCTAGTGTTGTTTGACCCTTGGGCTTGAAGTCTTACTGTTTTGGTTTTTGTATCATTATTTTCCATTCCTCCCAAGGTTAGGTCCCCAGCCAGTACCCGTCCCAAGACCCCAGATGGTTGGGACAACATTGGGTAATAGCCCTTATTATCATTATTTTCTATGGAAGTCATACTGATTAAGTGCTCCTATTTCTTCCAGGGAAAAGTTAAATACGTTGTCAGGCCTGTATTACCTTCTGGTTGTGAAGCAGCAAGTGGCCAATGTGGTGCCATTGGTACAGGGGATTCTCCAAACTTGGGTGGTTATGGGGTGGAACTTGCTTTGAAGAACATGGAGTATAAAGCTATGGATGACAGTACAATAAAGAAAGGTTATAAGGAAATCCTTAGGCCCATTATTTATCCTACACTGTTTGAGTTCACATTTTAACTTTTCAAGTGAAGAATAGAATTTTATTCTATTTGGATGATTTAGATAACCATTTGATTAAAAAATGTGCCAACTTATCTTTCTATTAGTACCATTCTTCATGTTTGTTTTTCTTCATGACTTCTTTAATTGGAAATGATTTCATACCGTGCCTTCTGCATAGTGGTTCAATTGGTTAATTTTTAGCCATAACATTTGATGGGTATAAATCATGTCTCTCTCAATTGCTGACCTACTTTATAGTTGAAAAGGAATGCAGCTCTCGAACATTAGACCCTTGCTTTGTTGGCTGGAAAGGAACTATATCTCTTTGGGTGAAAGGATAACTTTAATTAAATTGACTCTTGCTAATCTTCTAGTTTATTTTATGTCAGTCTTTATGATGCCTTAGGTAGTGGTAAAAAGAAATGAGAAGTTTATGAGGAATTTTCTTTGGGAACTGGGGGAGGGTAAGAAAGATCACTTGTTAAGATGGGAATTAGTGGTGAAAAGGAAGGAAGAAGGGGGTTTGCGTATTGGGATTGTGTTTGAAAAATCTGGTCCTTTTGAGTAAGTGGCTTTGGCGGTTTCCTCTATAAAGTGAGAGGTGGCATAAAGATGTGGCTAGTATTCATGGCCAATCAAAGAATGGGTGGGATGCTGGTTGTCTGTGCAGAGCTACTGTTTCTGTACCTTGGAAACCTGTACATAGTATCCTTCCTTGTTTTCTTAATTTTATAAAATATGATTTGGCTTCTGGTAGCATGATAAAATTCTGGGAGGCTGTTTGTTTTAAATTGTTCCTTTATGAGTAAGATTTTCTTCTTTTGAGCTTAAGAAATATTTAAATGGTTTTGATTCTTTAATTGCAGGTGTCACTCTAGAAGATCCTCACACTGATGACCTTAGCCAGGAAGTTAGAGGGTTCATATTCTCCAGAATCTTGGTTTGTTTACAAACTATTTCTGAAGTTTAATGTCTTATATTAAGGTTTTCATAGTGTTATGTACAGTCTAATAGTGTAATGGTCAATGACCGTTTTCTGATCAGTAATAAAAGAGTTTGTGGATTGCCAACATGAAATATTATTAGAATTGACATATTTCCAATAAGAAGTATTGGTACTATGTGGAGGAATAGACAAGATGGTATTGTATATAATGAATTGGCAACACTATTTTAGATTTGTTGAGTAGCAATATTATTGCCTGCCTAATGGAGATGGTGACCACTTTGAGAAGATCAAAATTCTTTTTGGATGTGATGGATCTTAATTTTTATTTGTGTAATATATTATTAGGTTGGTCTATTATAATAATCGAACATTCTATGAATTTAAGTTTTTCTTGGACTTATCTATTATTTAGTTTTGACTCTTAAAGAGCTAGGAATCTTTATCTCTTGGTTAGATGCTATGGTCATCTTTCAAATTGCAAAATAAATTTTGGAGTTGCATTGTAAGGGTTGATCTTGATGTGGGTACCTTAGCTACGTATACTGAAATTTTGGGTTGTTTGGTGTCTGAATGGCCCCTCAAGTAGTTGGAACTTGCTTTTGATGGTAGTCCTAGATCTAGAATCTTTTGGGACCTTGTCTTGAATAGATTTTTGAAGTTGTCCAATTAGAGAAGAAATTATATTTCCTTGGGGAGTAGAATCGCTATAATCACTTCCACTCTAGCAAATATGCTTACCTATTTCTTCTCAGTGTCTAAAAGTTTCAGCTTAGTAACAAAATGGCTAGAGAAGATGATGGGGGATTTTTTTTATTGAAGTTATATGGCCCACTCTAGCAAATTTGTGCCTATTTCTTTCAACTTTATTAATCAGAATTGCCTTTCTGACACCTGTTTTCTCTGCTGCCTCCTCCATGTTTCTTTATTTTCGTCATCTTCACAAGCTTTGTTCCGGAGTATCTAGATTCTCAAATAGTGAAAGTGCCCATCTTTCTTCAAAAGATTCTATCATTTTGTCCAATTGAAGAGTTTTCTTCTTTATTCTTCAAAAAAAAAATCTGAAATAGATCAATGAGTTCAAAATTTCATTGCTTGTGTGTAATTGTTATATTTGGAATGATGCCTGTAGTTTGAGGCAGTTATTCTCTCTATGTGAAATTCTGGTTGCATTGAGGATGCAAATGCTTTGTTTTTCATTTTTTTTTTAATTTTTTGATTGTATTGTGGATGCAACTTAATATAAGATGTTGATGTAGTCACAATTGAGCTTATGGGGGTTTATTCATCTTATACAATTTATATGCAGGAACGCAACCCAGAGCTGACTACTGAAATAATGGCTTTTAGGGATTATCTATTGTCATCAACCATATCAGATACACTAGATATTTGGGAGTTGAAGGGTACATATCAATGATTTTCATTAGTATAGGATTTTGAGGCAATATATTTTAAGACTTTATATCATTAGGATCATTAGTTAACTGTAAAATGCTAAAACTCACATTAGTCACTTTTCGACAGATTTAGGTCATCAAACTGCACAAAGGATAGTCCATGCGTCTGATCCTCTGCAGGCAATGCAGGAAATAAATCAAAACTTTCCAAGTGTAGTTTCTTCATTATCTCGCATGAAGGTAGGTAATTTTACTTCTAATATTACTTGTTCTTACTGAATGCAAAATCTTCTAATGGATTGACTTAGGAAACTTTGGTCCAAAGTTATTCTTACTCCATTGTCCATGCTGGCTAACATACGTTCCTGTCAACTTTGGCAGCTCAATCATTCAATTAAAGATGAAATACTTTCAAATCAGCGGATGGTCCCACCTGGCAAGTCCTTGGTGGCTCTGAATGGTGCTTTAATCAATATAGAAGATATTGATCTTTATCTGTAATGCTTTTCTCCTGAACTAATCTTGTTATTACTTGATATCCTTTCTGTTATTCTCCACTTCTTAGAGAACAATGTTTAATTATTTTAAATGATTAGAAATACCCTGTTCAGGAAGAAAATGTAGTCCTTCATTTCCTGAAATTGTGATTACACCTGAATCATATGTCCACTGCTGCTATTCCATTGGTTTCATTGATATCTGAAAATCTGAGTTTTTTTTTTTTTTATTTAAAATACAATGTGCCTTTTATTTGTTATTGCAACTGTGCTGTTATGTGTTACTGTCTAAAGAGAGAAATAGGGAGTTAATGGTCGAGGGAATGAATCTAAAGGCTATTTGCATAAAAAAAGCAGCAAAGAACATTTTAGGAGAATCCAAAGGGAAATGGCAAAGTGATAAAGAAACTTGGTGGTGGAATTAAGATATTCAAAATATAACAAAAGTAGAATGAGCATGCTATAAAGGTTGTAAAAAAACCAAAAATGTATTAAACTTGGAAATATATAAAAACATAAGAAATGAAGCTAAAAAGAGAGTGAAGTTAAATTTAAGACATATGATGAACAATATCATAAATTAGGCACTAAAGAGGGGAGAGAATGAAATTTATAAACTAGCAAAATTGAGAGAGAAAAGATAGAGATTTCCAATCTCTTTGAGTTCGGAAGATCTAGACTCTGCTGGAATTGAGAAGATGGAAGAGAGGAAGGTGACAATTCCGGAAAAGGAGGTTAACACAGGTTCAATGTTTTAAAATGCGCAGTCATGACTTGAGACATTCCACTACCTAGAGGCGTGAGGCATAAGCCTCCTGAACACAAGGAGGTGTGAGCCTCCTTGAGAGGAGGGGGTCAAGAGGAAGAAGGAAAAGGAAAGGGAGGAGGATGAAGAGAGGAAGGGGAGATCTCATTTTTTCTCTATTTTCAATAAAAATCTTTTATATTAAGAAGAATAAAGATGGCACAACACTAGTTGAAGGGGGGGGGTTGTCTTGTCGAAGTAGAGGCGAGCGAGTGAAGCGAGAAGACCCCCCTAACACAAAAAAGAAGAAAAAAAATTGGGCTGCATTGAAAAGGGGGGTGGGGGCGAAGCCCTCCAGCCAAAGGGGCCGGGAGCGGACCACCTTCTTTCCCCTTATCTTTTCTTCCCTTCCCTTCCCTTTTCTCTTTTTTTTTTCTTCTTCTCTTTCTTTCCCTTCCCTTTCTTTTCTTTTCTTTTCTTTTCTTTTCCTTTCCTTTCTTTCTTTTTTCTTTTTTTTGAATCTTTCTATATGAGGTGTGCATGAGGTGGATGAGACGTACACCTCTAGCACGCCAGAGGCGTACGCATCAGAGGTGTCAATGCCTCTGGCATACGCCTCAGGGCGTTTTGGGAGTGCCTCGCCCCCCATGCCTTTTAAAACACTGCGCATCAGAGGTGTCAATGCCTCTGGCATACGCCTCAGGGCGTTTTGGGAGTGCCTCGCCCCCCATGCCTTTTAAAACACTGCATAGGTGCTAAGCCAGAATATAAAAGCAACAATGAAGGTAAGGCCAGAGGAAAGGAAGATGCAGATGATGGTGAGTCCTCTGATCGACAGGTTGAAGATGACATGACTTTTGAGGAGGTTGAGATTGGAAGGTTGGGTGTTGATCTGGGTCAAGTGAGCAAAACAGAAGAGAAGGAAAAGGATCAGTCTAGTCGGTTAGTCAGCAAGAAATCATGGAATGTGAGAACTCACAGTATTGTGCATGTGACGAAGATCTTTTCAAGGCTAAAACTTGGCTTGGCAGGGACTGGACTTACAAAAAAATATAAATGGGTGTACAGAAGGAAAAGGGTGAGAGGTAATGGAATAACTGGTACCGATCATAGGGAGGAAACAATGCAAGCTCAGTCACAGGACCCCCTTTCGTTTAAGGGGACAACAGGAAAACAAGGTGAATGGGTTCGATCCCGAATCTGGTTCGATATGGCTAAGGCAGGAAAATGATGTTGATGAAGTTTCAGGTAAGGTAGATGTACAAAAATTGGTGGAACAGTTGGGAAAAGCTTGGGTCTGGTGTTCTGGGGTGGTGAAGAATTTGCTAGGAGGGTTTCTGAAGAATTTGAAAGAAAAGGAAGAGAAATTGAAGAAAAAAAGCACAGAAAATAAGGAACAAGGAATGGGGTGAGGAAGTTTCGAATCAAGGGGATGAATTCACAGATGAAGACTGATGTGGGCATTTGGAAGGGTTCTTGCTTCTGATTAGATTGGGAGGTGGCTTCTAGCTTTTTTTTGGGGGGTTTTTGTATTCGGTCCGTCCCGTGATTTTTTTTCAGAGTTGTTTGGGTAATCTTTTATTCTCAAGGTGTGGTTTTATTAGGATCTCTTTTTTGGGTTTTCCTAGGATGTTTCTTGCTTCTGTTGATATCTTATCACCTCTTGCTGTACTCTATCTTTCTTTTATTTTTTAATGAATTTTTATTTGATTCTTCAAAGAAAAAACATGTTAGATGCCATCTTCAGCAAAAAAAAAAACATGTTAGATGCATTAAAGAGGAAGATCAAAGAGTCTTTAAGATCAGGAAATTAAGGAAAGAGGTAAAAACAATTGTGAAATGGCATTGAATGAAGAACAAGGATAGGGTGTGAGTGAAGAAGGGATGAATAACTCTAATAGTGTTCATTCATAAAAAAAAATAACTCTAATAGTGTTGAATGTAACATATACTTGCACAAAATTGGAATTTTTAAAGCGGAGACACTAGAGAAAATATAGAAGGGAAAGATGTTAGGACTGGATGGTATCCCAATATAAGTGTGGAAAGGCAAGGAATAGTAAGCTTATTATGGCTAACTACACTATTTAATAAGATAATGAAGACATAGAAGATACTGGATGAGTGGAGTAATTATCATGGAATTAACTCATGAGCCACACTAAAAATAAAAGTTTCAGCATCCAAATTTCTCAAATTGTTCATATGGCCAATCATATATTTTAAATTATCAAAAATTCCCCATCATGGTCCTTTTTCTACTCACACTCACTTCCATCTTAAAAGACATAAAATACACATGCAAATTGGCCAATGTAGCTCTAATCAGTGTGATCCTTTTCCCTTAAAGACGGATAGCTTTTCTTCCAAGATATGAGCCTGTAATATCATATTTCTAGCTTGAGTGCAGCCAAGAACTCAAATACCTGATTTCTTTAAACTATCTTCCTTTGGGTGGTAACATAGTCACAACCAATGTTCGAAGAACCGGGCCGGGCATAGAACTGGAGAAGGGAGAGGTTCGATCGGGGTCGAACCGTGTTGACGTGGCACATATATATATATACTATGGGTCATATAAATACTATGTATAATGTATTTTGCAACTTTTAATCTACTTAAATATGGTGGATGGATGGTAAAGCTTCTTAATTTTTAAAACAAATGACTAGGGTTCAAGTCTTTTGACTTACATTTTCTTTAAAATACGTGCATAATAATGTAATATGTATAATAAATTATCGCTAATTAGCATAAGTAAGGAGGTGGATTAGTGGTAATTAAGTAATCTGTGAAAATAAAAGGTCTTGGGTTCAAATCTTATTAACAACATTTTAAAATTTCACATATATATGGACTTGGGCGGTTTCATGAAACCGGGACCGGTTCACCGGTTTTCTGGTTCAACAGGCCGGTGAGCCGGTTTTTAGCGGGCTTTGAGCAAATCTGGTTATTGGGGTATGACCAAACTGGTCAAGGCCCCGGGTCATAGTTCAACTGGCCGATCCGATTTTCTAAACACTGGTCAGAACACTTCCAAACAACAGTATCCAACAAGTGAACCTCTTGCCATAAAGACATAAGAGTGGACAAATACATGGCTAAAGAACGTCCTTCCTATTTAAGACTGTTTGTCTCAAACCACAGTTGATAGGCATGTGCTACATTTAGGGCGTTGTAGTATGTTGTAGCAGTACTTCCCAGATATCAACAAGTGGTAACAATCCTCATTCTGAGCCTTACACAAAGCCTCAAAGAGCACCAATTAGTTATTCCCATTGAACTTTATTGTAGTATGTTGTGAGCTTAGGGTATTTTTAGAGCTTATAGGGTTGTTCTATGTTACAGGCCCGCGAATAGGATCTCATCACGGGTCGGTCCACGGGGAAAACCTCCTGTTTTCCCTTGTTCCTCCCTTTTCTTGAGGAACCTATCTTGGCGCCTTAATGGTGATTTGTTCAAGAGATCACCAACTCTCCTCTACTCTGTCTTGACTGAGAATTTCGATGCCTCTATTGAATATCAT